CCTCTGCCTGGCCAGCTCTTACCACCCTCAGATCTGTCCCTCAGGGCGATATACAGTGACTCCCCCAACCAAAATCAGGGCCCCATTCCATGACCTGGTGACTTTCTATACTTATCGACAACAGCGTGGATGCAAATTTAGACTTTAGCTGCAGTGACGTGTTTTATTTCTGTTTTCCAAACTAAAAGTTCCATGAAATCACAAAGGGTGTGTCTTGTTCATCTTTGTGCCCCCACTACCCTGCATAAAGCCTGGCATGTAGTAAGTGCTCAATAAATGCTGATGTAGTAAATGAATGAACGGTACCATCCAGTCAGAGCCACAGGAAGATCAATTTCAGCTCCGTGAAAGAGCATTCTAGTGCTTTCAGCTGTCTCAGTTTGAGACTGGTTGCCTGGTGAGGCACTGCGCTCCCTGCAGGGGCATCGTGGGGGCACTGCGCTCCCTGCAGGGGCATCGTGGGAGCAGAGGCAGGCCCCGGCTCTCAGACACACCTGCCATGAGGGTTCTATCAGATGCAGAGATGAAGGCTGTGACCTCTAAGGAACTTTGCAACTTGGAGGTGCTATGCCTGCCTCCGCAGCTTGAAGAAAGAGCTAGTAAGTAATTAGGGGAAGGGGAGGTGCAGGAAGGGAGGAAACATCCTTGGAATGCCAGGCCGGTTACTCGGGAAACAGAACATTTATAGCACCAAGCCTGGGTGGGACTTCGAGGGATGGGTGGGCGGCTCTGGGGACGGGTCTTGGGTGAGAGCGGGACTGGAGGGCTGGGCTCTGGAGCCAGGGTTGTGACTCCCCATCCTGTCCTCTCCACCTACGCCATCCTTGAGCACAAAGAATGGGAATGACCTTGAGCATAGCGTAGTCTTGTCCACCTGAGTCCCGGAATCCAGCACATGGCTGGGCAGTGAGTGTTCGTGATTCTAGCAAAAAAGTCAGCTGAGCGTGATGGCTCACACCCGTAATCCCAGCACTTCCAGAGGCCAAGGTGGTAGGATCACTCGAACCCAGGAGGTCATATAGTGAGACCTGTCTCTACAAAAAAATGAAAAACTAAAAAAAAATTAGCCAGGCATGAGGTTCGTGCCTGTAGTCCCAGCTACTTGGGAGGCTGAAGTGGGAGGATCACCTGAGTCTAGGGAGGTTAAGGCAGTCAGCTGTGATCGCACCACTGCACACAAGCCCAGGTGACAGAATGAGACCGTCTCAAAAAAAAAAAAAAAAGTCTTCTTTGCATCTGTACTCCAGTCGGGACCACCTACATCACGGTGGGCTTGGTGCAAAGTGAAGATGCAGAGACCTTTGTTCATAAATGATGAAGAAATTCAAAATAGCAGAGTGTGATAGCAGAGTGTGGACCCAAGCATGGGGGCCCTGTACAACTACATACATTGCATGTCAGCCCCACGCTCAGCCCTCCCTGATCTCCCAAGGATGCTAGCCTGCAGACCTAGCGTCATCCAGCCTCCATCTCCAGGACCAAGAGAACATGTCAAACTGAGACCTCGCCATGATGCCGAAGCTAGGCAGCTCCTCGCCCTGCTCAGCTTAGAGCCTCGTCGTCTTTATTTCTAAATACGAGCAGACAGGAAAGAATTGATAAGCAATACAGAAGGTTTCAAGTCAAAAGGGCAGCGTGGGGGTGCCCAAGGGAGGCAGACAGTGGAGCCAGCAGAACAAATGACTTCCTGGAAACAAGAGTTAGGAAAAAGTATCCTAGAACTTGGAAATATGGTAAAAAGAGGGCACTATTTCTCACAATGTCATTTCACACATAATTTAACAGGCCATTTAAATATTATTTCACTATCCAGGGGGAATATACCTTTGTTTGGTTCACAGTTTCCTATTCACTAAAGGTCTGGATGCTGTGAAATTATATATTAACTTGTAGATTTTTATCTGGCAGAGATCTTTGTGATTTCTGCCCAAAAGAAAAGATAACCCCAAAAGTTATGGTTTATTACCCTGTAGGTCATTAACCAGCTTAGACTGCAACCTCAATTTCTTCCTGCATTCTTTCTCCAATGTCTGTTTTCCTAATTCTGCTGATTACCATCTGCTGAGTTCCTACTCTTTACGAAGCTGGATAAATTTGCCATATATGTTGATTCCAAGATTTGTGTAAGGGTTACTTTTTTTTTTTTTTACCTTTTCAGAAATTATACTTTGACACGGGTTTACTTCCAGAATCATGAGAAGACTTTTAAGAAGCCTAATTAGTATATAAGGAGATTCAGGTGAGTAATGTATCCATAAAATAAGAACAGGCATCCGTAAAACAAGAACAGGAACAAGGTGCTCTGAAAAACAAGAAGTGTTCTTGGGAATTAAAAAGACACCGAGGAAATGAATTATTCCACAGGGACAGTAATAGGGGAAGGGACATTGCTGAAAAGCCCACTTGTGATTCAGAAGCCCAAGTCAAAGAATTATCTCATATTACAGACAAAATCTGTGAAAGAAAAGAGGAAAGGCATGGAGAAAAGATAGAGGACAGACACATCCATATAACGCAAATTCCAGAAAGAAAGAGCAGAGAATAATGGGCCATAGAGATGGAAGAACTTTCTTCTGAGATGAAGAAAAGCGTGAGGTTTTTTTTGTTGTTGTTTTTTGTTTTTTTGAGACAGGGTCTCGCTTTGTTGACAACTATAGTCCAATGCCACAATCACTGCTCACTGCAGCCTCAACCTACTTGGCTCAAGGAATTCTCTTGCCTCAGCCTCCTGAGTAGCTGGGACTACAGGTGTGCACCACCACACCAACTAATTTTTTTGGTTTTTGTAGAGATGGGGTCTCACTATACTGCCCAGGCTGGTCTCAAACTCCTGGGCTCAAATAATCCTCTTGCCTCGACCTCCCAAAGTGCTGGGATTACAGGAGTGAGCCACTGCACATGGCCAAAAGCACCAGTCTTGAGTTCTCTAAGGTCTCACTTAGATCTGCCCTAGAGAAAGGTCTGATTCTGAAAGTAAAGAGAAAAGTCCACAAGCTTCTAGTCCAGAAAAAGCAGGTCATCTTCCAAGAAAGAGGAACCAGACCTGTACTGGACTCACCTACACTACTATAGAGTAGGTTTGAATGGCAGGATATGTGCAGGGTTCTCACTGTAGAACAGCATAAATAACTGTCCTCCACACTCAAAGATCAGAGGAATACATGTTTGAACAGACAAGATTGAAAAATAACACTATCCAAATATCTTTTCTTTAAAATCTACTTAAGGATGTTCTCCAGCCAAACCAGAATGACAATAAGAATGAAGAACGTGACTAAGAGTGGGATACAGTGCTCAGGAAACCAGAGTAGCTTCCATTGAGGTCTAAGTGACTGAATGCAGTGACTGAGAGAAGATGCTGAGAGGCCAGATACAGTGGCTCACACCTGTAATCCCAGCACTTTGGGAGGCTGATAGCTTGAACCCAAGAGTTCAAGACCAGCCTGGGCAACATAGTGAGAAAAGAAAAGCAAGAAAATCTGGGGGAAAAAATGTCTCTATAAAAAAAGAAAAGAAAAATTAGCCAAGGTTGGTAGCACATGCCTGTAGTCCCAGCTACTCAAGAGGCTGAGGTAGGAGGATCCATTGAACCTGGGAGGTCAAGGCTGTACTGAGCTGTGATTGCACCACTGCACTCCAACCTGGGTGACAGGGTAATAACTTGTCTCAGAAAAATTGAAGGAAGGAAGGGAGGGAGGGAAGGAGGGAGGGAGGGAAAAAAAGAAAAAGAAGGGAAGAAAGAAAGAAGAAAAGAGAAGGAAAGAAAGTAAGAAAGAGAGAGGGAAGGAAGGAAGGAAGAGAAAGAGAGAGAAAAAAAGAGAGAGGGAGGGAGGGAGGAGGGGGAAGAGAAGGAGGTGGGAGAAGGAAAGGGAGGCAGTGAGGGGAGGGAAAGCAAGCTTAGAAGTAGTGTAACTTTTTTTAAACCCTAGTGAAACAAATCACCTCACTTCATAATGTATCTGTGGAATTTAGCAGATCCTTGGTGGGATTCTCATGCCCTGATTGCCCGTCTCAGCCATTTGTCTACTGAATTGATAGGTCACACCTCCTCGATGGCATTCTACACACAAGGTCACACACATACACTGACACACACACTCATACATCTCTCTTGCACACATGCTTACAGTCTCTCACCTTTTCCTCTCTCCCCTGCCCTAATGACCCATCCCTGGGCATGGTTAACGCCTCCTCATCCTTCAGCTCTCTGGCATCACCTCCTCAAGAAGCCCTCAAGCCCCCAAGTCCCCAGCTTGGCTCAGTCGGGCTCTGGCATAAAATGCGCTCAGTAAACCACACACTTTGCCCAGCACCTTGGTCCCCATGTGGGAAGGCACACCCACTGGCATAGCGGTGGGTGCCTCCCTGAGACAGGAGTGGAAAGGACAAGGCCTGGCTTGCTCTCCTCCTTGCCCCCAGCAGCTAGGACAGCACCAACACCGGGAAGCAGCTTGTCGGTGGATGAATGCATGGATGAGTTTGATCCCAGGAAAGCAGGCACAAGGCCCAGAGCAGGGTCCGAGATGCTCCAGATGGGCTCAGCTGTCACCAGGCCTGTCCCTGATGGCAGCTTGTGTCTTGGTAGAAATAACCTCAGTCTGGAGTCAGAAAGTGCTTACGCCTGTGCTTGGTCTCTGGCGTGATGAGCGATCCAGGACAGTAATCCTACCAGCTAGCATTTATTGGGTGCTCATTTTGACGCAGCTACTATTATTATTCCCCTTTTCAGATGAGGAAATGAAAGCTTAGAGAGGTTCAGTGACTTTCTCAAGGTCGGATCGTTCATTAGCATAAACACACCAGTATTCGCTGGAGGTGCTGAAAGACACACAAGCTAGGAAGGGAGGAAAGAACGACTGTCTATCCATCACTCCTCCCAGCTCCGGGGGTCCAGGAGGGTCCCACACATCACCATAAAGCTTCATCACCATCACCAAGAAGCCCTGGGTTCTCTAAATTCTATCTGGCCGAGGCTGGGACCTGCCTGACAGGCTACCTACCCTGCCATGACGATGAAGAAATCCAGGCGGTTCCACGTGTCCCCGAGGTAGCACTTCTTGCCAAAAATGCCCAGGGCCACCATCTTGAGCACCATCTCCATGGCGAAGAAGATGAAGATGAAGTCATCAAAGACCTGCAGAGGCAGGAGGAGGGAAGCAAGGGACAGGGTGAGGCTGCAGAGCGGGGCCCAGGATTTGGATCCACAGTGTGAGGTGGGGACACAGCATGGAGGCAAAGGGCCTGGGAAACACCCGGAAACTCCTCCTGGGCAGGAGGAGAACCTCAGCGATCCCGGTCCAACGCAGGCATTTCGCAGATGAGGAGACTGTGACCTGGAGAGGGGAATGAGTTTGCCCAAGATCATACAGCCCATTCTATCTGTGCTCTAAGCCTGGGAACAGATAGAAGAGCCCCAGATGGGGGTGGGGTGAGGGGCCAGCCCATATTCTCCCTAATAATTATAAAGCACTGGCTACACACTTGACCCCCATTCTCTCTCCTGACCCCATGGGTCCATCTTACAGATGAGAAAATAGAGACTCAGAGAGGTTAAGCAACTTGCCCCAGGTCACATAGCAGATAAGTGGCACAACCAGGATTGAAACTCCGGTGGATCTGATCCCAAAGCCCCCATGGAAGAAGCTGTCTCAAAGTAGCCCTCAGGCACAGGCCTCAGTGTGGCCTTCCTCTGCTCACAAAGGAGACTCAGTGAGATTATGCTTCTTGAGGGCAGGGCCTGGGTGGAATTCCTCTTCCCAGGATTAGTGAGGTCTGCAATTGCAAGTTGACAAAACAGGTGCCACACACCTACAGTGTGCCAAGCCTAGGCCAGTGGTGAGGACACAGAGGTGTGTGCTCAGTGAACTCGCCATGAGGCTAGCCAGGTCTAGCTTGCCTGGGACCTGGAGCTGCTGAGGAGCTTGTTACCCACGTAGACCCCAGACCCACCCAGAGATTCTGCTTCAGCAGGTCTGAGATGGGGCCAGGGGTCTGGATTTTTACCAGGTACCCTGGGAGACTCCGTGGCCCAGTGCTGCCTGGGAGCTACTGAGTCCTAGAGAAACCCAGAGGCAGAAAGCAATTCCTCCCAGGAGGAATCTGGCTTTTCCGGGGAGAGGCATTGAGTGTTTCCACATCTGTAAAATAGGTACAACGCTAACACCTGCCCTACCTGTACACCTGCCCTGGGCAGGATATGTCAGCTACTAAAGGTCAAGTCCTACCCCAGAACCTGGGGAGATAACGGAATGTGAAACCAGAGACCCGTTACTAAAGGGCATCTAGGGCGGGGCGTGAACTCGGCTTCTAGTCCAAGAGTACGGGGGAGGAAGTGCAGCTTATAGGCAGAGGAGCGTCGGGGTCACTGTGCTTTACAGGTATGCAGTGAGGGGCGCAGGAGGAGGCTGGTGGGGGCGCCCGGGTGAGAGAAGATTGAGGCCTGGACTAAGGCAGAGGCCCCAAGGTGGAGAGGAGAGATGAGGAGAGAGCATCACGAATGGTAATAGGTAAGATCAGTTCGGAGTGAGGAAGGATGGGTCAGCCAAATGAGAGCCGCTGGTGGTGGGGACCTGGCTGAGTTCAGCAGCGCCGGGTAGGGCAGCGCAGGATGGGGAGGAGCAAGGAGCAGGGGCGGGGAGTGGAGTAGAGTGGGCGGGGCACAGGCCAGGACAGGGCGCGGGGTGTGGAATGGGCGGGGCACAGGTCAGGACCAGGATGCTGGGGACGGGGCATGGGACGGGGTGTGGAGTGGGCGGGGCATAGGCCAGTGCCTGGAGAATAGTAACAGGGCAGGGCTGGCAGTGGGGCGGGAGGGCCGGCTCACCTGCAGGATCTTGCAGCGGTCGGACAGGCAGTCCATGTCGTCGCACGGCTGGTACATGCCAAGTGTCACGCAGTTCAGCAGGATCACCAGCATGCTGACACATTCAAACCACGTGCACACCAAGTCAAGGACAATGCAGCAGGTGGGACCGTGGCATAGGGGCTGGGGCGCACCCTAGAGTGTAATACCCCCAACCCACCACACACACAGGCATACACCCCATTCCTTATTCTTCTCCCTCAGGGCGCCATCCCCGAAATAGCTCAAAGCCCATGGAGCCCACGTGCCCCCATCACCACAGACATGGCCACATGCGCCAAACCCACCAGGCCCCCACCTGCAGGACCCCACTCCTTGCCCCAGCCTGAGATCTCCCATCAGGCCCAGGGAAGGGAGAGGTTTCCAGAAGCCTGGCTGACAGGGAACTCTGGGCTATCCCAGCATCTCCACCCCAACCACCACCCTCTGACTGCCACTGCCTCCCTTCTATGACCACCTTTCCGTTTCCTGACCCATGGTCCCCCATCTCTGCCAAGACCTGGGTCTGGAGCCTGCAGAGGGCCCTCCAGTGGGGCTGAGATTGGCTGGATGGCCCTGTCCTTCTCTCCTCACCCACTGCCAGGGTTAGGGCTCAGTTAGGGTTCATTGCCTAACTCTGAAACACCGGCACTTAGCCCAGCCCTGGCCTGCACCACGTAGGATGGAGATGGACCCCCTCAGGCCTGGCCAGGTAGAAGGTCTCCTGTGGTGAACCCGGCCCTGGCAAGGCACGAGCTTGCAGCTGGAGTGAGTGGGCTCCCCTCCCGCATCCAGCCGGACGGCTCTCCTCACCACAGCTGAGAGGCCCTCCACGAATGCCCTCCTCCCTCCCTCCCCAGCCAACTCCTGCCCATCCTTAGAACACAGTCCACAGTGTCCAGTCCCCCCACCCTCAATCCTCCCAGTCACAGGGCCAGGGAGGTCAGGGCTCAAGGACCTCAGGGCTGTGTTACTTCCAGCCCCTGCATGTCATACCAATGAGAAAGCTGAGCCTGCTGAGGTCTCCTGAACTGGGATCTCCAGTTGACTGAGTCCCGCGGCCTCAGAAAATCCGTGCTTACTTGAAAAGAGGCAACCCAGAGAGAAATGGACTTGAGCCACACACCATGAATGACTGAAGTCAGACACCCAGGGGAACTTCCAGACCACGCAGCTGGACTGACCTTAGAGGCAATGACGAGTTGGGAGTAGGTTCTCCTTCTCTAAGAGGACAAATGCTAATAGAACTCCCCACACCCTGCCTGCCACGAAACCCCCTTTCCTCCCCCAGAAACTGAGTGTCAGGAAACACAAAAGCAGCTCTCATACAGTAAAAGCAGCAAACAGGACAAGCCAGGGGCACTGCATCTGAACTCCAGTCCCAACATGACTGGCTCTGCAGTCTTTGGCAAGCACCTTCGGTCTCTGAATCTGGATGTCCTCCATCGGATGACAAGGAGCCTCCCCACTAGCCCCCCCGGGTCTCCTCTGGCCCCTCCAGACCACCCTCCCTGCAGGAGCAGTGAGCAGTTAAAAACATTCATGAGACCACTTCCCTCTCTGGTGCAAAACCCTGCCCTGGCTGCTGGGCTCTCTCAGCACAAACTTTGAAGCCCTCACCTGGCCTGTAGGGCCCCACCCCCGCCCCGTCTCCCTCTGCCCTGGCTTCCCTGGCTCCTGCTGCTCCTCAGACACACAGTGAGTGACATCAAGACACTCCGCTTCAGGCCCTTTGCCTGTACTGGTCCCCCACTTCAAGGGCTGAGCCTCCAGCTTCATAGCCACCTCCTCTGAGAAGTCCCCACCCAACCTCATCACGGCCAGCGGCCGCACACCCTCTTCACACCCTGCCACTGTCTTGCTAACATGCTCATTGACTCTGCCACTACTCTAATCCACATCCCAAGAGGGACAGGGACTTTACCCTAACATTCAAGTAGGTGCTCAATTCACATCTGTTGGATGGACAGATATGACTGTCCCTTATTATCTGCCATGTCAGTTACATATGGTCCACCGTGGCCCAAAATTAGGTAAGTGCAGTAAAATAAGAGATTTTGAGAGAGAGAAAGAGGGAGACCACATTCACATAACTTTGATTATCGTACATGATTCTAATTGTTCTTTTAAAAAAAATTTTTTTTGAGATGGAGTTTTCCTCTTATTGCCCAGGCTGGAGTGCAATGGCGAGATCCCAGCTCACTGCAACCTTCACTTCCGGGGTTCAAGTGATTCTCCTGCCTCAGCCTCCCGAGTAGCTGGGATTACAGGCACCTGCCACCACGCCCAGCTAATTTTTTGTATTTTTAGTGGAGACGGGGTTTCACCATGTTGGCCAGGCTGGTCTTAAACTCCTGACCTCAGGTGATCCACCTGCCTCGGCCTCCCAAAGTGCTGGGATGACAGACGTGAGCCACCGTGTCCAGCCTAATTGTTCTATTTTATTATTGATTGCTGCTCATCTCTTACACTGCCTGATTTATAAATTAAACTTTATCCAGGTATGCAGGCATAGGAAAAAAAATAGAAATAAATAAATATAGGGTTCCGTGCTGTCTGTGGCTTCAGGCGTCCACTGAGGGTCTTGGAACGTGTCCCCGTGGATAAGAGGAGTACTAGTGGAAATCTCTATGGCAACTTCCAGGGACTATCTCCAGGCAAACCCTTTACCCCTCCATTTCAACTCTTGCCCTTAGCTGGGATGTAGCCACACCCAACAAACTCCTGGTGGGACCCCACCCAGTCAGGAGTGGGAGCTGCAACCTGGTTTCCATGGCAACAGCCTCCCTCCCATCCCCAGCCTTGCCCACTTTGGGATGCTGTCTTCTGGCCTCTCCTCAGCTCCTCCCAGCCCCAGCCCTGCTCCTTCCTGTCCCCTCACCCCACTGCCACTCTCCCGACATAGCCTGTAATTAATTTCAGTCACTGCCACAGCCCCCTTTGAGCCTGAGCCTGTCTCAGGCAGCAGCTTCATCAATAATTAACTTTTTTGAAGTTCAAACATTCTAATTACCAGAGAACATCCCCCATCCCCCTCGCCTTCCCCCTGTTCCTGTCTCAGGCTCTCTCCTTCCAGCCCCATCCTCTTCTCCCTCTACCCTTTCTGCTAGTTTCAGCCTCAAAGTGCCCTTAGCAGGTGTCTCCTGGGAGTCTGGCACCCCTGCTCCCTCGTCAATAGGGCCCTGAGCAGTGGCTATCAGCAGGCCCATTTTACAGATAAGGAAGGCTGAGACATGGGGGGAATTGGAGGCCTCTCCTGGGCTGCACAGCTAGGAAGCACTGGAGCAGAGACTCACACCGGTCCTGCTGGATTCCAACGCCAACACTGTCCTCTGTGAAGTACGGCCGTCTCTGCCCATGGCTCTCCTTCCTCCCCTGAGGTCTCTCAGCCCATCTTCAGTGTCTCTCTGCAGGACCCTGACCCAGCGCCCCCTGTATCCCCCAGCTCTGTTCTCTGCCCCTCCAATCTGCCCCATACAATAACCAGGCACTTGCTGTGTGCCCAACACAACTTGAGCATTTTGCAAGTGTTATCTCATTTAATCCTCACAGCTCTATTATAAGCCCCATTTACAAATACGGAAACCCAAACACAAAAGGGAAACAGATTGGCCCAAGGTCACCAGCTGGAAAAGAGCAGAGCTGAGACATAAAACCTCAGGCTGGAGGCTTTTCCTGCCTCCAAGCTGTTTTTCCACTGCTAATCGGCCTGGAACACACTCTGCTGATGCCGCTCTCCTGCTCAGGAACCTCCTATGGCTCCCCATCACCCGCCCAACCTTTCTGGTCTTACTGCTCACTGGCCTTAGCACGCACTGAACTCCTCACTGTCCCCAAACACACCCTCTGCCTGCACTTCTCCTTTCCTCCATCTCTCCAGCAGGCAGACTCTTTCAGAGCCCAGTTCTCAGGTCACCTCTTCTTGAAGCTTCCCCGGATGTGCCTCTCACCCCTCACAAGGCAGTGGCTCAGCCTTCTCTCTGGAACCCCTCCCACCTGCCTTGGCTGGCGTGTACCACGGTAATGAATTTGGCAATAACTCTGGCGACTGTGTGCCAGGCACATGTCCCTAGGAGGGACATGACCTCTGCTCTCACAATCCCCTGGGGGCTGATGAGGAACAGGCCTGGAGAGCTGACACCACTCACCCAAGGTCACCCAGGCCCCAAGCAGCCCAAATTGACTCGCGACAGTGCCGGCAGCCGCTGCACAGCGCTGCCCCTGTGGCTCATCTAACTCTCCCACTGCCCTGGGTCCCCCAGGAGGCAGATGGAATGACTTTCATCCCTGGGCTGCTCAACTTCAGAAATTCAGCGATGGACGATCTCAGCCCTTGCCCAGAGGTGCCCGGGGAAATCCCAGATGGCACAGCTTGGGCCCCTTCCAAGAGCCCAGGAGGCTCAGAAGTCAGGCCAGAACTGGCATCGCTGCCTGTGGTTCTTGACACACTCCCCACTGGCTCAGGGATCAAAGGCACAAGCCCTCCTTGAAGTTAAACCAGACAGTGCAGCGTGGGGTAGGAGGGCGGCAGGAGGAAGTCAAGGTCTCCAGCTCGAGCCACTCTGCCACCCGGCCCAACGCCTCATGCTTCCACCGTGAGTCACAAGTGTTGAGGAACTCTCTGAGAACACAGGCAAGTGAAGCCATGAGGTTCTGGGACAACCTGAAGGAAGTGGGAGGCCCAAAGGACAGTGCAGGACTTCCAGGTGATAGAGCGGGCAGGGCTGGAGTGCTACTGCCACGAGATCAGGGAGTCTTCAATGGCTCCCAACTGCCTCTCACAGCGAGGCTCAAACCACCCCCAACTGTCATCTGAGGTCGTGCAGTTGGGACCCTGACGCCTCGCCTGCTTCACCCCCCCGGGCCGTCACCGCGGTGTGGTGACCTTTGCCACAGAGCAGCCCTGCCAGCATCGTTAGAGAGCAACTGACCCAATCCCTCATTGCAGTGATGGAAAACAGAGGGGCTGGAGCCTGTCCCAGCTCCACAGCGAGCTCAGAGCAGAAGTGGCACTCAGACAACAGACTCCCCACCCACGGGGGTCCCCTAGCCACAGTCCATTTTCAAACACATACCAAAACCCTCCGCGTTTCC